ATACATACGAGTACATATTTGCATGATAAACATGAAACCCGTAACCAGCTTAATGAGCATTTGCTACAGAGAAGCCTGTGAAGGCGCGCTGACTGCCAAACATACACTCATACATATGTAAAATAAGCCTAAGTCACCAGCCACCCAACACTGTATGCAAGCACTTAAGTATCTTATCTTATGTATGCATGTACACGTACTTATTTATATATATATATATGTATGTATGTTTAATAAATAAATGAGCAAACAATTTAAACAGCAACGAGTTGCCGTAACAAACACTCTCACGCATTCTCTCATACATATAATCCTTGACAACATGTTGCCATTCACGAAGGATTATTATAAATTTATGTGCTAAAAGTAAAAAAAAAGACATACAGACGTCCCTATGTAAAGACATAAAAGTAGTCTTTATGAATTTGGGTAAATGGAGCAAATAAAGCAGGGTTGCTTAGTAATTACTTTTCGAAAAAGGCATGACAGTACTTAAAACCCTTGTAGTTTGGAGTAAGCTGGAAATCGAGTTTTATTAGCATATAAAGGGTGTTTTGTAAAGACATGTGGTTTCCAAGAAGGAATAAGAAAGCTAGACATTTAATGTTGTGGGCTAGAACTCAGCTTTTTTATATAGCCAAGAGTTTGCCTTTATGTTTTAAGAGTGATTGAGGATAAGTGACCGCTTGGCTGGTTTGCATAAGTTCCAACCACTTTTGTAACAATTGAAGTCGTGTATCATCAAAAAAGCGCCGAATATTCTTTTCTAAGGCGTCAATCGTCGTGAGCTTGTCTGCCAAGACAAGCTACTTCCCATAACCCTAACAAAAAAGTGTCCAGCGGCGTTGAGTCGAACAACCATAGGCCTACGGCGCCAGCTAATGTGCTCACAAAAAGTTTTCTTCAATAAACCTACTGTTTTGTTGGCTGTAAGGCATGTCTTCTTGGACCCAAAGAACGTCCACACGAATTCAGTGATTGCCTCTGGCCAAAGAGCACACCAAGCAGCGACTTCTTCAGGTTTATAGGACGTTTCAGCAAAGGCTTGTGGATTATCATCACTTCAAATGCGACGATTTCGTTTATTAACCCAAAGTGAGCTTCTTCGTTGAACGAAATTTCCTTGTGAAAAACGGAATTAAAGACATCTCGTTTGGGGACATTCACCGTACTTGCGAACTTCCGCGAAATCTTCCATAAAGTGTATGGGACGCGTAATGGACTCCTTCGGGAGTGTTCAACTAGAGTGGATTCATGGTTGCTCGAATTCCACCTCTACAGGGCGATTATATCAACCGAATATTGAACGTAGCGCGGATAAAAAACAAAATACCCTTTAAATGCATTAGCATATTTTTAGGCACACCAAATATTTATATGCCTATAATTTCAGTAACTAAAGCAACATTCTTCCCAACATAAATTACTTTAAAGCACACAAATAAGTAGGCTAACTCACAACAGCGACAGTTTGGCACGAAATATACGCCAAGAAGGCATATAAATACCGCCACACTCAACCCTAAATGTAGGCTATGAAATAAAGCAACAACCTGCCACTACAATTCTTACGCAACTATTGTACTCACACATATACCCAAGCAAGCACATAAACTTAAAGCAAAATAACGACAATCATCAATAATCTTAAAGGCAACTGTGCCAGCTGATGCCCGACTTGAAACCAACCAACCAACCAAATAGACCTGCTTGCCAAGCCTCGAACGTTATTGCATACAAAGCACCGATGGCAAAGTTCAAGCTACTCTGTCGACACACTGCGACACTGATAGGCCGATTGACTATCGTTGGCACAGCGCGCGCTGTTGGCGTTGAGTGCTGATTACTTTGAACGTTTGAACGTTTAGCCCGCACATGGGGGCAGTATGTCATCAACTTGGACGACAAGGCAGTACTCTATAGTTGTACGGCCAAGTACGTGTTCATGTCAGGCCGCTGTATCGCTGGCTTGATGTCTCACTAGTTGGCTGTCTTTCCGGTCGCTTACTTGCCGTTGACTCTTTTACATATTTCCGTTGTTGATTTTACAATTTTATCACTTGCAATAATTTTTGGCAGCTGTTGGCGTTTTTCATCATGACTCACAGCGACAGTAACAGGCAAACTTCAAACTCCTTTTCCGGCTGCTATTGCTCAAAAGTGCTAGCGTCCGAAAGTTTTCATTTGCAATTTATGTTTTAAATTGGCGTACATTTATATTAGAAAAGAATTTGTGCTATAAAAAGTTTCTGTTTCGATTTTTTCTGTTTTCTAGGGATAAAAAATATTTTTGGCCCAATGCCAGTTGTGCAGCAATAGCCATTAGATGCGCCTCATTGACCCAAACACCCTTCCCATGCGTTACTATCCATCACTGCACTGTTAGAACTGCATGTCCCTTCCCTCGCAAAACTCCACATTTGACCTTTTTCTATAAATTTAGAGAAATTTCGCTCCAAGCTCTTTCCACTTGTCACTACTTTCGTTTCGCTGACTACCTCTCCGCTTCTCTTTCTCTCTGGCCCATTGAATTGTGCTCGGGTCAAAATGGCATCATTACACCATAATGACATATCGATAAGTTCAATGGGCGCTCGTAATAAATTATTGCACAAAAAAAAACTGAAAAATACACAAAATAATGCTGAAACAGTTTAACAATGCCGAAATCCCCGTGACGGCAGTGACTCCATCTGTGTTGGCCGCGTGCAAAAAGCAAACTCCATTTAATTTCATCCCTTCCTTGTTTGATCCTTTTTTGGTTAAAAATCCGGCGCAAAAAAAAATGATTTTGTTGTAAGCATTTATTTTGAAACCGTTATGTTAAATAAATGCGCTGAGATAAATCGAAACAATATTGGCTGCCTTGGTAATGCGCAATTCGTGATGCGAGTATGTGTGTATGGATATGTCGAGAAAAATGAAGTGAAAAGAGTTGCCAAGTTGCAGTGAAAATGCGAAGAAAGTAACAAAACTTCAAAATTCATATTTCTTTCCTTTCATTCGTCAACTCCAAGAAATCCAGGAAAAGTAAGGTTAGATTGAATAAAAATCTGCAATAGATGTAAAATGAGAAATTCGTTAAGCTTTCTTAGTTTATAAATAAGAAGTCTTCAGTAAAAAATCTTGAATTATTTTACAAAAGTTCCAACAGCTTTTTTCCAAATTAAACGACATAAAAGAGCTCCCAACCTCGCCATGCAATACGTGCGTTCTTCATGGCACAGTTCTGGGTTTTTTAAAAGTTTAAGAGCACCTGTGTCCCTAAAAACATATTCTGTGGATTAAGGATTTTATTCCACTCATCGCGAGAGCAGACCTTGTTCTTAGAAGCAAAGAGTCTGATAATAGATTATATATTTAATTAGAAATGGCTTACCCAGCGAACTATGGAACACTCCTTTTTAATCTAGATAGCCATATTTTCTTTGCCGTTCGGCACCAGTTGAAGACATCAAGTCCTTACTCACATAATATTTCCAACGAAGTAGAGATCTTTCTCAAGCTATGGATATTGCGACGAATACTTCAAGTTCATTAATCGTTCGCAAAAACTGTTTCCCGAAGACTCCCAGCGCCACTCGTCAGGTATCGTCATCGCCTATAGCTCCGAACAAGAATTATATTATATGTGATCTTGATTTTGGTTCAAAGTAATATCTGTTGACAAGACTGACTGTGCGCTGGATTTCAAAGCTGACGTTATCATTACAGGCAATTTCGGGTTCTAATGACATGGGACAATAACGACGTGTGAGCCGAGTCGTGAATGCACAGACTATTTGTTTAATGCAAGGAGACAATTTTTGTCCGGAATCAGGTCGAGTAAAAAACCGTTCGGCTGTCTGTTGTAATTGTACGATGTCGAACCATCCTCGAGTTTGTTATTGAGCATTCTTTCCTGCACAAGGGAGTGACGGAGGCGAGATAGTGGTCCGAGTTGATGTTAGGAACACTGTAGATATGTTGTCTGTCTTTAAAAGTATAAACGATCTGGTTGTGTCAAGTTGATAAGCTTCAACTTATTTCTGCATGTTTTGTTCTGAACGCTAAATTAGACTACACTTGTGCCGAAGATAACTTCTTTTGTCACCCTGACGCTAAAGTTGCCGAGCACATATTTCACATCGTGGCGGGAAAGGTTTTATAAGTTTGCTACAGCATTTTGCCGGCGCGTGGACTCAAAACGGCAAACGCTTTGAAGCGGATTTTGGCAAGACTTTGATCAACCGGGGTTATAGGACTCCTCGAAGAGTCGAAGAGGTCTTCCTCTACCCACGAATCTGACATAAAATTTGAGCTCCTTTATATGGCCATTTAGTAAATACAGTCACACTTCTTGGGCAGCGGCACCTATTCAATAACAATACAAGCCCTCAACATTTGTTCTTTTGAAGAAATTAATATACATTATTAGTCCAAGTGTAATTTTCGCGCATTGGCAACCCTGTGAACAACCGTAGCTAAGACACATACCCTCATATATGCCCTCTAATCAAACATACATTGGTACACATGTATGGTATGGCAATACTTAGTCAATTTATTTGTTCAATACAAACAGTCGTCACCAACGAGCTACCGCTCTACTCAAACAAGGTAAATATCCCACGAGCTCGATCTTTCTAGCAAACCTTACTGGAAATCAAAAAATCACAAGGAATCACGCAAAGCGCAAGCCAAGAACAGGTGAAAAATTACGAAGCATCACACACAGACACTCAGCTGGCTGGTGGACGGACTGGCAAACAACGTGTTAGCAATCAACTGAAATTGCAATTGCGCTTTGCGTGCGTCAAACACATACGACGAGCGTCCAGGAGCGGCGGCAGCAGTGTCACTATTTATTCTGCAAGAAAATAATATCTACACGAATGTGTGAGTACATACATACATATATATATGGTTTCATTACATGTATTTGTTATACATTTTTATTATATTTTTCTCTTCTTCATTTCTTCTGCTTCAATATCTCTACAGCACTTAGCAGCAAGAAGATGAAATTGGAATACGATACAAATCCATTCAAGCGACCGATGAATGCGCTACAAAAACAATGGTATCGTGTACTTATCGCACGCCGTGTTGGCTTTGGACCGCCGAGCTCAACGAATGATGCCAACCAAATGCAAACATAGTGAGTGTGTGCAAATAAGTAGCTAGCAAGTAGGTCCGTACTACGGCGTCAGGGGTAGAGTAGTGACACAAAAATTACATTAGATACACAAAGTAAGCGGTAGAGCAAGGGCAGTGAGTGTGGCTCAAAGTTAAAGAAGACGAAACCCTTCCACAAGGCATTGAATAGCCAAGAGATGTGACAACGATTGTAACAATAAGAACTTTCAGCTCTTAGCTAGCTATCTGCTGAGCACATACTCTCACCCGCACTACACTACTTATTGCCGTACTTCGACTTTGTTGCTTCGCCATGGCTGGGAGTTGGTGTAAAAGCGCAACAAATCTTTTTACAATTCGTCAGGAAATTGCATTTCCTTACTGCCTCGTTTGGCTTGATTTGATTTGCTTCCTTGTAAGCTGCTTTCATGCGCCGCAGATGCACATCGACATTCAGTGGTGTGTGTGTGTGTGTGTGTGTGTTTGTGTGCGGTTTGCTGCTGGCATTGATCTGTATTTCAAACTAGTTAGCGCTCATGTACGTGCAATGCGGTGTGTATGTATGTTCAGCTGCTTGTCGGTCGTTGTTGTAAATCCCTCACGGGCTCCATGGGTGCAGTCGTGCATAGACATAACCTCACTCAGCAACCAGCAACACATGTATGCATTAGTATTTAGTTATGTTCGCCATGCCTCTGCCTTTTATGTTTATGTGGTTACCGTTGCTGTTGTTGCCTTTTTGTATTTATTTTTAGCGTTTCTTTCGTTCGCCTTCGTTCTGCTCCTTCTGCTGTGCGCTTAGCAAATATTTTCATTTCATATTTCATATCATTGTTCTTTTTATTTTCACTGCTACTCTACTACACCTGTAATCCATCGATGCTCACTCAACAATTCTCTTCCTCTCTTTCATATCTCTTTCACTGTTTTCCCACCCTCCCCCCTCCCCTCTCGCCATCGCAGTGAAGAAGTCTGCCAAAGGCGTTACATGGATGCATTCCGTCGCTATAATGCACAGTTCCGTAAGGAAATCCAACAACACGAAATCATGCAACCGACGGCTATCGACGCAATGCGCGTTCACAGGTATGTTTGCACACCGAGCTTACGAGTATTAGATAATTTTTACAATGTAGTATGCAGCATAGGTAGATGGCATAGCACAAATGCAAATATTGGTTTGAATATGGAAGTTATAAGATCATGAACTCGCTTCGTGCGCAGTGAAACATAGGAACATTTCTTTCTACAGTACTGTGGGTAAAGAAAATGTGTGCTTATAAAGGATGATCCATTGCGAGGTTCAATATTATTTTAAAGAAAAAACACAGATAATTCAAATTATCTCTTTGAAATCTTAACCGCGGCTACGTTTCAGATGGTCCATCCGTTGAGTCCAGTTTTCGATGACTCGTTCGGGCATTTCGACTGATAACTAGCAATTGGCACGCGTAATGTGTTCCTTCAGGCCCTCAATCGCAGCAGGATTGCACGCATAGACTTTAGACTTTACATATCTCCACAGGAAGAAGTCTAACGGTGTGATATCTCACCATATTGGTGGCTAAAATCTGAAATTATCCGCTCACCAAAAGGTTCTCTAAATAAATCCATCGATCGCATCAATCGTATCGACGATTCCACCGGCTCACAAACCATACCAAACTGTTGTTTTTACTGAATGAAATGGCAGCTTTTGAATTTCTTCAGGTTGCTCTTCGTCCTAAATGCGGCAAATTTAGCTTGTTCGCATATTCACTGCGCCAGAAATGGGTGAAATGGGTCTCATCACTGAACAAAATTTGGCTCGAGACCAAATAGGGCCAAGCGATGTCGCTTGCGAAGGTCCAACGGCTTCAGTTGTATTTTGTAGCTTTCTATTTGTGTTCTCGACTTAAAATGCGTCAAGTTGTTCCAGACATCAATTCGAACTGCTGCGAACGGCGCCAAATCGACTATCCGCGGTCTTTGTGTACACTCTCAACTACGGCAGGTATATTTTCTTCTCTGTGTACTGGACGTGGTATATTCGGTCGAGCATTATCCAATAATGAATGCTGGATTTTAAGTTGACAATAAAATGATAAATATCGTCTGACGATCAGAAAGATTTTGTATTGTGTTTGAAGAGATTACTCTACTCTACTATGAGCTGATTCCCTATGGCCAAACTCTCCGTTTGAACCAGTACCGTCAGCTCAGAAGGAAGTTATCTCACAGAAGTGGCCAGCTACGGACAGCAGTAGGGGAATTATGTTCAATCAGGAAAACGCCCGACCACACTCATCGATAATGACTAGTTTAAAAGCTCCGAGATCTTGGTTGGGAGGCTCTTATTCGTTCATCTTATAGTCCTGATCTCGTTTCAAGTGAAACCTGTGGAAATCGATTGTCGTGAGAGAGTCATATGACATTACCTTCGAAATAGCAAAAGGTTATCGACTAACGGTGCGGATTTGGATCTTCTGCATAGTGCTAACCATTTCGTTACCGCTACCAATATTAGAGTTATGTAGAGGGAGAGAAAAAGCGGTCCAAGCCATAGCAGATGAATTGATAGTTGTCCAGCAGCATTGGAAATTCATTCACAATGAAAATCTTTTATGGAACTATGTTATCGCAGGTCAATATCCATAAATCTTATTCTCGAAAATAAAACGGAAAGTTTCTGACAGTTTTAGCTCAGTTGAAAGATGACCTGCGGAATTAGAAAACCTTGTCTACATACTTGGTTGCATATCAAACTCGTAAACCATCAGCAATTGGACTGCCTTTTATGAATATCAGGCCGGAATTGACTCGTTCTAGTTTGTCTCCTACGGCCTTTACGGAAGTGAGTTTTTGAGAAAAAATTATGTCTTTCAGAGCGATTCCAGCAGTTGCACAGGTCACCCCAAACATTCTATTAAAATAGAACGATCTCAATAATTAAGTACAGTAAGTTCAGTGACTATTTCTGCTAACTTCAGTTCCAAGATAAACGAGATTTATCTGAAGTGATTTTACTAACGACTTGAAGTACTTTTACTATCCAAACTTATCGCTGCTTCAAATAATTTATACTTTATGGTGACGAGCTTAAGCCAGATATGTGAATTTTGAATAGCAGCAGCGAGACGATCTGGTTCCGAGAAAAAATTGTCATTCTGAAAAGTAAGGATAATGTTCATTTCGACCTGCCTGGTGTACAGTATGTCTCAGTTTTACTCCAGAATAGAAGCAAATGAGTTGTTCCAACGTCTCACGCAAGTCTGTCTCCTTAAACTTCCCGCATGATTCACTACTATTTGTAAATATTTTGCTCGCGTGTGACGCCAACAGGTTGTTAACGGTCATTGGATCTATAACAGACCTTCACCTGAAAAATATCACAATATTCTAGAAAATTAAAGTCTTGTCCGAGATGTAGATCAATGCACTGGATTCCGAGGGCTACTCCATCGGTCTTTTTTCGTCCATGTAGACTTTGTGAGTTTCGTACTCCACACCTATACTTTCCAGTTTGTCCACCATCCTATTCAGATAAATTTGCCTTTGCAGTGCAGCTGTTTTGGGAGTTTTCAGCATGGCACAGCGGACCGCAGTATTCGCTTCAATGATTTTTGTATGAAATTTTGCTAGACATAGGCTTCCGCACCAAAGCACTGTAAATTAAGGCTGAATCGGATACCGCAGTACCACATCAAGAGCAAAGACGATAGGTCGTAAATAGCATCATCTCTCCCTCCACATGCTGTCCAAAATTATTTCATGGTACTATTTTCTGTACCTTAATTCGTAGAAACTACTGGTATTTTTTGTTTACCCATATATTGATCAAATTTATACCAGTTGAATACTAGTTTATTTAGGCATGTTTAAATTCTTCTTCACTAAAAATATAAATTAAAACAAAAACGAATTTTATTTCATTCGACACAATGATAACCTGTAGCTACTCGGTTAACGTGACTATTGGACGAGCATATAGTGCACTACACACTACATAGAAATTTTGCATACTAGTCTTCCCCTGAGTGATGGCGATAAGTTGCATGAATTGTTGCCTACATTTAGGCTGTTTAGTTATAATTTTTAGCAAAGTCGCATACCTTTTTTAATTGCCCCGTTTAACTCAAGAAATTGTGGTATAGTTGGCGGACTCTTCGAAATAGCCCAATTTCTTATTTTTGGTATCTTCATAATTTCTTCTTTTTTTTGTCCTATTTTTCGATTTAGTCTTATGCGCTTAGCCGCTTAGTTTTCTTCAATGTGGTATATAAAATTTGATATAACGGTATATTTTTAAATTCGATTAAATATGTGTTTGAGACCACCATGATCAGACGACTATCTCATATAACTGGCTTAAAACTGATTGATCGGATAAAACATATTTTTCACTATGGTCTAATATAGATATTTTTATGTCGATTTCATATAAGTTTTTTATATAAATTTCTTCAACTTTCAGCCACATTTTCGAGGGATTTTTCGTTCTGCTTGTTTCCATTTCTGTGGTAAAAAAGTCTTTGGTTCTACTTAATATTTCCATTGAAAGTGAAAAGGCCATTCCCTGGCAACTGTTCGGGCTCTCGCTCTTATGTGTATGTCAGCCATCGAGCAACATTTTGACTGTCTTTGAAAATGAGTTCCACAAATATTATTCAGCTCAGCAGAGTCCAATAATATGACACAGTAGTAATGAGAGTTACCGCCGGAGGAAAATAATTAGTCTCCTTAGATGGAGTGGCACTTTCGAGGAATTAAAAACAACAGTCATGTGTCCATCGCCTGCACCTTTATAAGCCATATTTATTGTTTTATCTTCAAAGGCTCTTTATGAATATGCAATGTGAGAATATTAAATTTACAGAAAGTTGTTCTTCTTCTCTTAGGAATCTTAAGTAACAAAAACACTTGAGCAATCTCGTACTACCAAAGCTTCCACCTCCGCCGCATTGCTTAACTTTCCAACAAAACCACTTAACACTTGAAACACTTTCGTCATTTTACAGAGTTTCGAAATACAACGCTATCGACACTTTCCCGCTTCGATGAAATAAAAGAAACCAAAAAACGATTTAAACTAAACTAACGGTAATCCAACACCGCTAAGTATTTGCTACACCTGCACGTTGACCCGCTTAACTGAATTTGCTTTGAGCGCACAAAATGCGCAGCAATGAAAACACAAAAAGGCCAACACCGCGTATAAGTAATCAACAACAACAACAACAACAACAACAACTCTAACCTCACTCTCGAACACCACACTTTTCCAACAACTCTTTGTAAATTGTAAATTTGTTGCTTTTTGTATAGCAATTAGCCAGATAACACTTTTAAGAACAAGCACACAGATACTTTGATAAGCGGCAACAGCAACAACAACAAGTAGAATGTTGAAAAGCAAGTACTGAAGTAGCATTTGAAACATTTTTGACATATTTTAAGTAAAATAATCCTATCCTCCTACTCTCTTTCGCTCTCTCCCTCTCTCTCTCTCTCTCTTTTCACCTTCTCTTCTCACCCGTAGAACATTCGCCATAACAACTCTGTGGCCGCCATTGCATTCGAAACGCGAAATTAATCTGACACTGGAACAATTGGAGAATGTTTTGAGTGTTAAAGAACGCCGGCGTTTGGAGGAGATACTCAAGCGTGAAACGAATCGCAGATAAAGTACCAAAGGCAGCGTTGGAGGCGTACTTGAGCTGCAAGGTATGCCTGGTGGAGAAGTGTGGGCGGCAGTGGGAAGAACGGAGAAGGCGAAAAGTGGAATGTGATCCGCAAGTGTTGGAGAGGAAGTGAAGAAAAACCAACAGAAAGCAGAGCTCGCATTTCAATCATTTCTCTTGTTTAAGTGTAAAACTAAACAAAAAAATATTTTGATATTTTAACGATTTAACTAAAGAGTTATGTAAGCTGAAGACTTAATGTGTTTGAATTTGTGGACTGAATTTCTCCAGGTCACTTACGTCCGTCTTCTAATGCTGTTTATATTCTTCAAAAAAAAAGTCAGGACTTACTCCATAAAGAGGAGAGTCTTAAAGTAATTTTTGTATCTTGTCGGGTTTACTATATATAGAAAATAGTTGGAGACTCTCTGCCTTGCTGTGAAGTAGCTGCTTGAGTTTCAAATGTGTTTGAGAGAGATTTATAAGAGCGAGAGTAGGGTAAACTACCAGATTGAACTTGGCTAAGCATCAAAAATTTTTGTAAAACTCTCAATTAGGCTTGAAACCAATCTCCCTCTGTTCATAAAGCATCATTTAATTCCCTTTGCTTGAAAAGTTCGATCTCAGATGTTCAGGTGATTCTTCAGTCTTCAAAAGAGCGATTGGAAGTCGTTTCACTAGAATTATATGTGGTCGGAAGGCACTTGAAATTCAGTAACTTCCGGAGCTTCCTCCCAAATGGCTGAGGACTCTTAAGAAGGATCTCTTAAGAACTCTTGTGGATTTTTATCAGATTCGAGTTGTAAGCAAAGAATTTCATTTTGACTCAGTCCTATATCTACCCTACTAATACCAAAATGATAATCTGATTGGTTTAAATGGAAACTATAGCAATTATCTGTACTTTGCTGTTGTTGACTTCACCTTTAACTGTCAGTTCGGCAGTTTAAATTATGTTGTATATGCCATTTGATCGCGCGGGCATTAAGTCAGTCAATCTCGCAAATCCTGTGATCTAGTTTGAGTAATAAGATATCCATGAGAACCTCAATCTGCTTAACGATCACCTGAGCGAAGAATTTTTGTGTATAATGGGGTGTAGTCCTGCTTCTGAGTAACAGTTGCAAGGTTATATTTAATTCCCACATTTGCGTACTCGTCACAAACCCCAAAAAGACAGCAGTCGCTGTATATGAAGCTGGCTAGTCTTAATTAAGTTTAAAAGAAGGGAAGCTTTGGAGTAGCCACTTCGAAATACCCCGTAAAAGGTTTGACTGAAGTCCTACTGAAGGCGCTGCAGGTCTTGCTGGGTTTGCTGGGTACTTCTCCGCTCGACTTGGGGGGTAGTACAGGGAGCTGTGCCCTTCAGGTTGACGAGATGTGACGTGGATGTTTATCCGATAGTGATATTCCACAACTTATGTAGAAAAACGTCAGCTCCTGAAAGGGGGTCGCAGGACTTTAAACTCTCCCTGGGTGGAGGTTTCATTTGCCAGAATTCTTTCAATGCATGTGGGCTTGAGAGACACTTGAGCGTAAAGGACAGCTGTCTTGAGAGAACAGAGCCTGAAGATTGGGTGCGTAAGTATGTACCAGGTCATTAGGAGTTTGGGGACTATGGAAATAACTTGGACTGATGGATGGTGTGTATTGTTCTCTCTGGAAGAAAGAGAGTAAAGTGTTTGGTTGAATTTTAGATTAGCAGTAGGAATAAACAAGCTGGTTGCCAGTACGCGGTTTAAGGAATCCAACTCTACCGTCGCTGTATGGAAGTTCAAATAGTATTAGTTTCAGCACCGATGTTCGACCGAACACCAAAATCTACCTCGGAGCTTGCTTCGACTTGTTCAAGCAGCAACGTCCCTCAGAGATTATCACGGTGGTTGAGGTTTAAAACGAAATGCCGGTAGAGTTAACCTCTTGTCCGCTCAATGAGGAGTTGTATTGCAACACTGTATCTGACTTAAGGTACAAAATAGGTATAGATAGACCTCAACCCATGCCAAGATGGTTAGTGTATCCAATCCACACTGTCGTTTGTCGATGTTTGCATTGTGAGAAACTGATCAACACATTGATTTGATCTGTGTGTTTGAGCATCGTGAACTTAGGATGACCGCGCGGAATTCCCTGGCAAGGGTACCATCGTAAAGCGTATGGCGATATAAGGTCTATTCAGCAAAGGTTCGAATGTCGGTCTTGATGCAAGTGGCTCGCAATATGTTCTAAATTATATTCCCTGATATAGTGTGATTGCGCGCTGGATTTGGAATCAACTCTAATGAAAGTCCAATAAAGCTTTGAGTGAGAATTTTCCCTTTGGGTTTTTCAAACACAACAATAACTCTGACTTAAGGGCATGTCCCTGGAATATCTGGTTCCTTAACTGGAAAAGTGTTGCTGTTTATCTGGCGATCTTAAGGCGGACGTCACTGCAGCTCAAAGACACGATGGACGGAGCAAAGATGAAAGAATTTGGATCGCCGTCAAATCTACTACTGAGGCTGTAATCTGGCGCCGAATTTGCGGGATGAGACACATTCCATTGTTAAGCATTATCGCTCAGCCCGGAGAATGAACGTTTCGCCACAACCTGCATTAAAGGGAGATTTTTAACTCACCCATTTGCACTCAGAAGGAAGCGAAAAACGGTGTATCTACAGATACGTCTAACTGTAAGAAGCTCTAAATGAAGTCTGCTCCCCAAAGCTATTTAAACCACTTCAGATGTAGACCACACTACCAAGAATAAAGCAAACTCAGCAACCATATTGCTCAATCTTGTTGTCCTTAATGAATAATTAGTAGAAATTTAATGAAATCCTCACCCCCAGCGTTACGAATATAGAAATTCCAAGAAATATTAATAAGAAGCGCCACTAGTAAAAGGAGGCGGTGAGAGGTTCCACGCCACTGTCTACTATCACTTACAAGGAAATTAAAATGAACAGTAATCGACCAATTCCAGTACTCAGCCGACAGAGTAACACAGCGTGCAGAGCAAACAAACAAACCAGAGCAACTGACTGATCCCCACAAACAAAGTGAACGCCACTTAACCCCAGAAAGCTAAATTTCGATTGTTTGGTGGTTATTGGAAAAGCGCCGGCTAGAGAAGCCAGCGATATGAACGAGCAATACGAGTACTCTCTAGCAACGCAAAGTGTTGCCAATTGTTATGCAGGCGTGCGCGTCTGACAGCGAACAGCAGCAGCTTATCGCTCTAATGGCATAAACATCCGAAACGTGAGCAAAATCCGAAATGATGATGAACGCCCAAGCAAGCAAGCAAGTAATCCTAGGAAGCGACGCGGCGCAACAAATAAAGGACTAAACTAAACGAGAATTTGTTTGACGGTTCGTCCGTGTGTGTGTGTGTGTGGTTTTTTTGTGGTTGTTTTTGCTTGCGTTTTTGTTTGTATGCATGTGTACTTGGTTGAGTGAGCGTGCAAACCAAATCAAGCCAAGCCAAATCAAAAACTTCATAGTCAAAAGCGCCGCATTGCAAACCGCTCTGCCTCTTTCGCTCTCCCCGCACTATCGAGAAGTCAAAAAATCTCTAAAATGATTGAACGAAGGCAATATGTTAACGGCAAAAAAAACTGACTCGCGGCGGTTGCGTTGCAAAGTTGCACAGAGAGCAAGAGTGAGTGAGAGGCAGAGGGCAAGAGTTGCCATAGTTAAAGCGGTAAACAACACGTTCTGTGGACTGCTCATATATACATAGTCGTATGTATATATATATATATATATATAGATATGCCACAAACGGAACGGGAACAAGCAAACTTTTCAACAATTTCAACTGAAACCATTCATTGTCTGCCCGGCAGCCGCATCGAATTGATTCAATACTGTATAACAAATTCCCCCTTCTCTCGCTAAAGCGCCAGCAGCCGACGACGATGTGCTGCGGAAATCTTTTTGAAAATTCAATTCACACATTTTGTCAGTTGTCGATATTTTGAACCGTGATTTGTTATGCGAACAAGTCGAAAACAACCCCACCAAATTGACTAGAAATAAACAAGCTTTTCGCCTGCCACCTGCTTTGGCACTCTCTCTCTCTCTCTATCTCTCTCTCTATCTCTCTCTCTATCTCTCTCTCTCTCTATCTCTCTCTCTCTCTGCGTTTGTATTGTTTTATCTGAGCTTTGTTCGTCGACTCGGTAAAACCTCATTAGGTTTTCGCTTAATCACGCGCAACGCAACTTTTTAACGGTCATCGGCGCGCGTGTTTCGCGTACTGACAATATTGCGTTGCTATTATCCAAGGGGAGAGAGGAAAATTCATTCTCGTATATACAAAAAACTTTGCCGGAGTTGCATCTGGTTTAGAATCTGAATGATGCTCTCAATAGCTTTTTTTGAAAAAACTTTTCCCGCAACTTAAACTCGTCGAGAGGAAATTACAGATCAGAAAGAGCTCACTTGGAAGATGAGAAGAAAGTAGTGAATTGCAGCTCGTCCGGTGACTTAGTCCGGTGGTTAGTTAGTTGAACAGGTTGCTCAAGCTCGGAGTCTCTTGTTCAGGCGCACTAAGTCCTGTTAGCTCGGTGTGATACCTATAAACTGCGTTCTATATAAGAGATTCATCTCACTTTTCTAAGGGCTGAAACCATTTGGTTTGTCTAATGATATATGCGAGATTATTGACACTTGCTGACGCTATATCTGCAACTGCAGTCAAAGTTGAAATTACTTAGGAAACTATGTGGAACTACACTTAGAGCAGGGTAGTGGCGGAGCTAGTACTTACCGACCTCTCGTCTCGTGACAGAATTTATAAGCGAAGCAGTCCATTCTTTTACCATGAGCCCCTATTAATGAGTGTCCGGGTATCATGCCGGCCATTATGACCGTGGAGGTTCCCTTTAGAGGAATTAGAGACTTAGTTCTTTTTGTATCGATTAATGGACAGATCTGCCTGTCCATAGTACATGTGGTTTCACCCTGCCAACGGCTATTGGTTATGCTGGTAAAGGTCGTTCTTAGCAAATATTTTGCAGGA